CTAATCGCTGATTAGATATTTGCAATAGCAAACAGTTCAACAAAGTGATTAATGAATTTATACATCTACAGTGGGGCAAAAAAGTATTTAGTCAGCCACCGATTGTGCAAGTTCCCCCACTTAAAATGATGACAGAGGTCAGTAATTTGCACCAGAGGTACACTTCAACTGTGAGAGACAGAATGTGAAAAAAAAATCCATGAATTCACATGGTAGGATTTGTAAAGAATTTATTCGTAAATCAGGGTGGAAAATAAGTATTTGGTCACCTCAAACAAGGAAAATCTCTGGCTCTCACAGACCTGTAACGTCTTCTGTAAGAAGCTTTTCTGTCCCCCACTCGTTACCTGTATGAATGGCACCTGTTTGAACTCATCATCTGTATAAAAGACACCTGTCCACAGCCTCAAACAGTCAGACTCCAAACTCCGCCATGGCCAAGACCAAAGAGCTTTCGAAGGACACCAGGAAAAGTATTGTAGACCTGCACCAGACTGGGAAGAGTGAATCTACAATAGGCAAGCAGCTTGGTGTGAAAAAATCAACTGTGGGAGCAATCATCAGAAAATGGAAGACATACAAGACCACTGATAATCTCCCTCGATCTGGGGCTCCACGCAAGATCTCATCCCGTGGGGTCAAAATGATCATGAGAACGGTGAGCAAAGATCCCAGAACCACTCTGGGGGACCTGGTGAATGACCTGCAGAGAGCTGGGACCAAAGTAACAAAGGTCACCATCAGTAACACACTACAACGGCAGGGAATCAAATCCCGCAGTGCCAGACGTGTTCCGCTGCTGAAGCCAGTGCATGTCCAGGCCCGTCTGAAGTTTGCCAGAGAGCACATGGATGATACAGCAGAGGATTGGGAGAATGTCATGTGGTCAGATGAAACCAAAGTAGAACTTTTTGGTATAAACTCAACTCGTCGTGTTTGGAGGAAGAAGAATACTGAGTTGCATCCCAAGAACACCATACCTACTGTGAAGCATGGGGGTGGAAACATCATGCTATGGGGCTGTTTTTCTGCCAGGGGGACAGGACGACTGATCCGTGTTAAGGACAGAATGAATGGGGCCATGTATCGTGAGATTTTGAGCCAAAACCTCCTTCCATCAGTGAGAACTTTGAAGATGAAACGAGGCTGGGTCTTCCAACATGACAATGATCCAAAACACACCGCCCGGGCAACAAAGGAGTGGCTCCGTAAGAAGCATCTGAAAGTCCTGGAGTGGCCTAGCCAGTCTCCAGACCTCAACCCCATAGAAAATCTGTGGCGGGAGTTGAAAGTCCGTGTTGCTCGGCGACAGCCCCAAAACATCACTGCTCTCGAGAAGATCTGCATGGAGGAATGGGCCAAAATACCAGCTACTGTGTGTGCAAACCTGGTAAAGACCTATAGTAAACGTTTGACCTCTGTTATTGCCAACAAAGGTTATGTTACAAAGTATTGAGTTGTATTTTTGTTATTGACCAAATACTTATTTTCCACCCTGATTTACGAATAAATTCTTTACAAATCCTACCATGTGGATTCATGGATTTTTTTTTTCACATTCTGTCTCTCACAGTTGAAGTGTACCTCTGGTGCAAATTACTGACCTCTGTCATCATTTTAAGTGGGGGAACTTGCACAATCGGTGGCTGACTAAATACTTTTTTGCCCCACTGTATACTCATGCATTGTCAGGGTTGGGGGAGAATGCTCATACTTTCTGACTTGAGAGGAAGTCAGACTGGGAACTTCTGATTTCTAATGGAACAAACCATCTTTACTGACCTGTTTTTTAAAATGCTGGTAAAAATCGACATATGTCTTTAACCCAGTGGTGCCAGCCGTGGCACTCCTGCAAGGTTACAAAAATTGAGAGGTGTAGGACCGGTGCAGCTTTTGCCATGCCACTCATGAGGGCAACAGTGGTGAATATAATGGGCCCTTAAAGCCTCTTAGATTTCATTCATTCCAAATGATCCAAGGTTGTAGAGCTCGTTTGTGAACTTCAAATTAAAAGCCCAGAAATTAAAGTCACTATGAAGAAAAACAGCAAAAAAGAGGGCTTATTATCTCTATAATTTCGTGATTTTCATTTAATAATAACCAAGAAGCTGGCTTTACTTCCAAATTTGAATCACTGTATCTTAGCTGCCACTGATGCTGAAATTAGTAAATGCTGCAGAGAAATACAATTTGGTACATTTAGTACATTTTTAATAGATTTTTACCCCTCAAAAAACATTGTCTTGAATTAAACAAATTTTAATTGAAACAGCAATGTTTTCCCAGCCTTAAATTGTGTCTTTTTAGCTTACCTACCTCACTTGCTATGATTCAAATGGGGTTTAGATATCAACATTATCTCACACACTATACTCAACTTAGTACAACAACAAAGGTTGTCAATCATGCTGTTTTCATGCTAATGTTTTCTCATCCCAGTGCTACAAACATTACTGGTTGAAGTATTGTTGGTAGCAACAGATTTTAAACACAAAAACACATCTATATAAAACATCACTGAAAAACCTGCATATTATTTTATCTACCTGTAGAAATAAGTGTTTTTGTAAATTTGTATCTTATCACATTTATTAATATGCCAATATTACTCTTCTTCGTAGTTGGACTGACTATGCTACAGTCAGTAATCATAGTACCAGAGTATTATCAGACCAGCTGAGGTGCACTGACTGTGCTGCCTATGCTACACTGTATTAATGAGGACATTATTAATGAACATGTAATAATGTTCTATTCTGAACAATATTGAGAGTTTTGCAGAACAACTCTGAATTCCACAGCTTAGTGGAAAATAAATGAGGCTTCAGTTCATGAAAACAGGAATCTGGGAGTGAAGCAGCGGGCAGATGCAGTAGACAATGGCCTTTCATTATAAGTCTAATAACTATGTTCGCTTTTTGAGCACAAAACAATTACACCTCGGGACGTGTGGATGCATTAGTCGTAATTAAGTCTTCAGACATGTCAAAATATTAATTTGTTCTGACAATATAATTAAGCTTGTGCCTTTTTGAAAATTAGTCTGGAACATGGAAGGCGGAGTTTAAGATAAATCATATATGTTCAAAAAAAGATTTGTATTGGGCTCCAGCGTGTCCTCATGTCCACAATCCAAGTCTCTATTCTTGGTTACTTGCTTATCCATTAATGAGCAAACTCAGGTTATTAAAGCTTTTGATTCCAGCTCTTGTGTAGATTTTCTTTGATGTAAAGTAAACTCAAGATCTGTCCTTGAGCTTCAGCAAAACATCTTAAGGAAGCTGCATTAGAGCTGTGAATAACTGGAATTGTAGTACTTCACATGTTAGTGATCCAATATATCTATATCTCACACACACACACACACACACACACACACACACACACACACACACACACACACACACACACACACGGGTAAATTAATCCAGTTTAATAGTTTCATGCAAATTGTGTTTATTTCTGTTGCAATAAACATATTATATGTAAGTGTCAATGTTTACATCACAGGGTGGGTCACAATTTATTGTAGCCAGTAGTTTGATATGATGATGGTTTGTTCTTGGTTCATATAGAATATGACAAGATCAACAGTTATACCAGAGTTTCTTAGCCTCAGTCTCTGGACCCTACAGGGAGGTATGTCAACTTACAACTTGTCACCTCTAATTGCTGTAATCCAGTCAGTTTCTGGAAACTGGGTCACAGTGTAGAAAAGGTTGAGAAACCCCGAGTTGGAATATTTTTACAGCATACACACAAGCAAAGATAGAATACAATAACAAAGACAGCTAAAATACAATATAGTTTATTAAAAAATAAACAAAATGAACAACACCTAAAAATATTTGACATGCTAATTCATCCAAAATACCACCTCATTTAAATCAGGGGCTTTGAATTATTATTGAATCCTAACAAAACTTTACATTTCTTCGCATTGCCCTTCCTCAAGAGTAAACACTGTTAGCTTTTGATGTTTGGTAATATCATGTCCAAAGTCTCTTTGTATTTAATTCACTTCTCCACAGTGTTTTCCTCTTCTTTGGCCTCATAATGATGATGATCATAGCTCTCAGTTGCATAACAATAAAATTCAAAGCTACATGCAACGTTGTAAAATGACAGTGAAATCGCACCAGAACTTTATATCATCCCTGTGTATGAGTTTTTAACAAGGGTGGTCGATTTTTGTGATCACAGCATTAAATATTTCTGCATAAAGTGCTACAAAAAATAATACTTACTTTTAAATTGGTCAGTAGCTTAACATGACTTTGATTTTTGTTTTACTCCACGAGCATAAATATAAATAAATAGCATAAATACACATAATAACCAAAAGTACCATTAATAACTAGTGTAAAAGATAGGCAAAGAGGAAAACAGGTAAAGTGATCACTGCTGGGTTAAAACCTTTTTTTAGATGTGGGTTTTTTTTTTTAATCACTTGAGTTTTCATATGAATGAGAAGCTCTAAGTTGTAGTGGTTAACACATGAAAGAACCCTGCTCAAGAGCAGCAGGAGACATAAATCCACTTTCAGGGCATCAAAAGCTGGTGGACTCCTCCTGGTCCCGAGTCTAGATAAATGACGGGGTATTTTGGCATAAAAATCTGTGCCAAATATATTCTGATCCATCTGCTGTGGTGACCCCTTGGGGGTGAAGTGAACAGCTTTTGTATATGAAGAAGAAAAATAACAAAATAAGAAAGCTAATATTTGCCTTGGCTATGGATGTGCAAGCTCATATTAATTAAATATGTGTTTCAATGAGTTCACATATTGACAGTAAATATCCCTTTCTGACTACACTGGTTTCTATTTTTGAATAAATGAATCAACTGTGTTTCTGCTAATTAATAAAGAGCAGCACACTTGTAAGAGTTTAAAACAACAACAACAACAACAACAACAACAGCAACAACAGCAGCAGTGTAAACCAACAGAATTGTGCTTGGCAAATGCATATGTAATTAATCAAGGATCATTTAGGACTGATATGAAATATTGCTCCTCACAGATGCTCTGAAAATTTGTTCTTCGTCTGCTGCCCCATGACCAGTTGCTTAGATACAAAATAATGAAATAACAGATATTTTTATCCATGGAGTCATTCTGGAGCCACGTTGGATGGTATCATCTCCCTGCAGGCTGGCTCCTGCTGAGCCTGTTCAGGTACCATCCTCACACTGACACTGCCACCATCTGTGGTGCTCGGGTTCACCACGCGGAACTTCCGATGAGCTGGCCGTACAGCTCTAAGAAACTGCCTCTTAAAGGTCTCACTTAGCATGATATAGAGAAATGGGTTAATGCAGCTGTTAGCATAGCCCATGCTAATTGCAATATTATAGGCATAGGAGAACGCTATGCTCGGCTTCTGCACCCCCAGGTGCACCAGTTGGAGGATATAGAAAGGAGCCCAGCAGATAAAGAAAGCGAGGCAGATGGCCACTGCCATCCGGGTCACCTTCCTGGTGCGCACTCTCAAATTACGTGGAGGCAGAGGCGCCACACTTGTGGACATGTGTTGGAGGATCTTGAAGAATACCCGACAGATAATGACTAAGGGTATCGCAAAGGCCAAGAAAAACTGGTAAAGTGTAAACCAGTATGTATCTGTAACTGGATCAGGCAGAAGCAGAGCACAGGCCACTAGCCCATCTGGGAGAGGCATCAGGCCGGCATACATCCACACAGGGATAATGGTGAGTAAGGACAAAACCCACACCAGCCCAATGACCAACACAGCCACACAAGGCGTGCGGACATAGTTGAAGCGAATGGGATGCACAGTAGCTAAATAGCGGTCAAAGGTCATTGCAGTGAGGATATAAGTACTGACAATCTGGCTGTTGGAATCGAGCGCAGTGATGACCGTACACATCGCGGCTCCAAAGTGCCAGGTACCGTTGCCCAGCAACTGGTGAATGAGAAATGGCATCCCGAGGAGAAACAGAAGATCAACAATTGACAGATTTAAGATAAAGATGTCTGGAACTGTTTGCTTGGCTCGACACTTGGTCTTCTTCATAATGGTGTACATGACAATACAGTTCCCAATGATGCCCAGAAAGCAGATAATGCCAAAGATGACAGGTAGGATGGCACCACAGTGAAGAGCACCATCTTCAGCTGGAGACCAAAAAAGGGGGGGAACAGCAGTTAATGTGGAAATATTACAAATTAGCTTTACATCTTAAAAATACACAAAAATACAATTTAGAACTGTACGGATACAGCATGAAATACAGTATATCTAAGTACCACATAATAAAAGTAAGAATTTTAATAAATTTAAATTCATGTCCAGGCAGATCTATTTGCTTTACACGTGTATATATCTGCCTATGGTGTCTGCATGCCTTTTTTGTTTGTTTGTTTGTTTGGTTGGGTTTTTTGCTTTACTACTGCAGCAAAGTCGAAGACAGAGAGGAATACAACAAAATACAACAGATTCAATATTATTCTAAAGATACAATTAGAGGTCTAAAAGATCTGTTCTTGTGTTCCAAACTTACAAAATCCTGTTTTGAGAACATATTTATGTCAGTATATTTATGTTTGGGGTTTTTTGTTGTAGTTGTTTTGTTTTTTGAACCATGTGAGGGACTATTGCCTTAATTTAGTTAGGCTTGCACTAATGTTTTTCTTTATTCATGTTTCCATTTCAAACGTATTATTTGGGAAATAGTTATGCGCTCTAACGTGGATTTGTGGAATAGGTTTTCAGACCTCAAAAACACAAGATAATATGAAATAACCGAAGATAAAAGAAAATTACAAGAAAGGAAAACTGAAGCATCATTTTATGTTTGTTTTGTTTTGTTTTACATTAATGTTAGACGATTTACACCTCAAACAACGTAGGTCTATTGGGCTGTAATACTGTTCAACCTACCTGTTGTTGAATTGCTGCCATCGATTGAAAAATTTGTATTGTTAAAAAAATCCATGGGGTAAAATCAAAAAGTACATCCAAGTTAAGATATGGCGCCGTTATGACAGGGTGGGCTTTCCAAGTAAAAACATCTGGAGCAGATTGCAGCCGAATCCTAAATTACCTTCTTTCTGTAAAAGAAATCAGCACAACCGTCGTGTTTCTCTCTGTGCGCGCATCAGCGCGCTCTGCGCCCTCAGTGGTAATAACGCAGCTCCTCTGGGAGTTACTGACACTGAAGAGTCAGTGAGAGCATCTTCACTACCAGTAAGCGACGCAGTGTGGAGTTGCGACTGCGCTGCGGGTGTCAGATTAAATAACATTGCTGTGTGCGCGTATGTGTATGCGTGTTTATAAATGCGTAAAAGTGTTTCCTTATTAATGTGTGTTTCTCTGAATCTGTTTTAGAGTTTAATTTTTCTATTACCTTCAGTACTTTAGGGTTTCATGAAAAGCAGAGAAAGAACAGCGACTTATGACTCAAAGTTAAAACACGTAGCTTTGCAGCGTTTCAGAGCAGTTACAAACAGATAGGTTCCTACACTCAAAGTCTGCCACTAGATGGCTTTGTTGCCTGTCATTTGGCCGATTCGCGCCTTTCGGGCAGTAAAATAGGATGTGAGCGGTTGACGGTTTGTGTGTTATGAAAAACACATTTAAGCCATCTACACAGTTCAGTTACTAGTTTTGCAACTCAAAGCAACTGATAAAGAAGCATGCATGCATTGTCGATTGCAAGGTGTTCTTCTTTCAGTTTATGTCCTCCGCATGTCCTCCATGAATCTTCTCTGCGCTCTTTTCTGTTTTTCTCCTGCCTGGCAGCTACATATTCAGCATCCTTTTTCCCAGTTTATCTACTATCTCTCCTCTGCACATGCTCAGATAATCTCAGCCGTGCCTCTCCAACTTTGCTTCCAAAATGCTCTTGTCATGCTCTTGTTACTCACAATGAAAATCTTGCAGTGTGTGTTTGACAGAGACCGAGAGCGAGAAAGAGTTGGTACAGTATAACAATATCCACAGTATAATCCTATAAAGTTTGGCATTTTGGAAACCAAACTTTAGTAGAAGATGGTTATGGCCCATGATGTTTGTGTGCTACAGGAAGAACATGGAATAACAGTAAAATGTTGCATCACACATTAATAAAGTATCAACAGCACCCTTCAAAATGCTTTAGATGACAAAAAACATTTAACTATACATTAACAAGGCACTTTATTCTGTATATATACTTTAAACAATACCACTTATTTACAGCCAATTTACAATCACAAGTGAACTCACCCAAAACAGGAAATGAAGACTTTTTACTCAAGAACTACAGCTTAGACTCTTGGTAGGAGATGCTTGGGAAACACAAAGCTACACAACAGGTGTAGTTTGTGTTGTCCTCTTTGATTTGCCGACTAGAGTGTCTTATTCAACACTGGCCATTAAATATATAGTTGCATGTGCTGTAAACTAATACACCATCAATGTGCCACAGTTTAAGGTTCAAGTTTAAGGACTGAAGTGTTGGTTGATTAGCTATTGTTTCTCTAGTAGAGACAATTCATTTCCCCCAGCACACACCTACAACATTATGAAGCTTGTGGTAACTATTTATTTTCTACTGTGCTGTGATTGTAAATCCAGGCCTTCCTGGTTTCAGTCAGTGGGCTCTATGCTTCAAGTTCTGCTACATCTGTTTCCACCCTGTAGAAACAAGAATGGGTGGATTATTTTATTAAAATTATTTGTCAGCATAATTTTACAATCAAGAAAATGCTTTGTGATGATGGACACCGTGACTGTTTGGTTGAATGAAGAACAATGGTAACCTGGTAGCAGATCTTAACAACACAAGAAAGTGAAGTTGAAATAGTGTTACTTGTTAACATTTAATTGTTTAAAACAAAACACAGTTATAATATTAGGAGACGTGAAAGCAAATGTAGTTTTTCTGTTAATGTTTTGTTTTTCCAGTCAGAATTTTGAATTCTTCCTATGAGAAATCTGCCTTTACTGTTTTTCATTAATTTCTTAAATGATTCTGACAGAAAGGGCATGTTGTTGTCCTTACTTCAGGAAACCTAATTTTTTGCTCCAGCTGTTTTTGGTTTTTGTCCAAGCCAGTAATTTTCCATCAGCCTCTTATCGTTTCCTTCTACTGCTTGATCAGTTGATCAATTGGACTGTTTTAATCTTGAGCCCATAATAAACTAATCATGTTGCTCTAATCTTTGTAGTCAGTTTAAAAACCCTTTCCCCAATAACAGCATCAAATTGTATTTTTTCCTTCCATTTGCATAATAGCACGATTGAGCAATTGAGAGATGCTCGATTGGACTGAGATCTGGGACATTTGGAATCGACACCTCAAAGCCATTGTCATGTTCTTCGGACCATTACAGAAGCATTTCTGCTTTGCAGCAGGCCGCATCATCCTGCTGCAAGAGGCCAGAGCCATAAATCACCTAAGCAACAATGTTTTATAGGTGGTACGTTTCAAGGTGAAATTCACCTAGCCATCCAAATGATGTTAAAACAACGTGGTACTCATGTGCCTATTATTATCACTTTTTGTTGGACACCCTAACTGATCTGCAGATATGCAGCCCCATACACATTAAAGTATGATGCACTGTATACTCTGACACCTGTTGCTGGTTCAACAGTGTTCCTTCCTTGGAACACTTTTCATAGATTATAGACATTTTGAAGATGCTCTGATCCAGTCATCTAGCTTTCACAGTTTGGCCTCTGTCAAACTCACTCAGATCCTTACAAATGCCCATTTTTTCCTTCTTCTAACACATCGACTTTGAGGACAGAATGTTCATTTGACTTTGAAACCCCTCTAAATTATAAGGATCCTTACAGAAACAAAACAAACTGAATTTTGGGAAATGTGAGAGTGTGTTAATGCGTAGTGTATAAGAGGTAGTGCTTACAACAGGAGTAATACTTTTTTCTCAGGTTTTATGTACAACACTGAGTTACCTGGACCCTAATAAGGGAGCAACTTTAAGGGGTGGTCAGCAATCCATTTACCTGTGTGTACGTAATCAGTGACCTGGTGCCCTGCTCATGCTGTCTGTGTCATGTGAGGGCTGTGTGCAGGCAGGAGTGGTGGTAAGGAGGACCCAGTGTGCAGACACTCGGAGGCAGAAAGTAAACTCAAACTCAGATTTATAGCTAGGAGGCAAACAGATAACTAGCAAAACCAGAAATACAAATAATAAACTGAAAACAACAATAACCTGAACTGGCAAATGGACAGACCACACAGCAAGATGAGGGTAGATCGTGACACGGACACAGAGAAACACAGGGCTTAAATACACAGAGGGAGCAATCAGGGAATGGGTAACAGGAGGGAAACACAGCTGGGGCAAATCAGGCCTAACGAGACAAGGGGAAGCAAAACCAGATAAGACATAAGACAGAACTCTAACAAAGAAACCACAGAATAGAAATGATAAATAATACAATAAACTCAAAACCCTGGGTCAACAACCCAGGCATCCTAACAGTCTGTTTGTCAGATTCTGACCTATCTGGGTCCAAATCGCTGTAGTCCAATGATCTCAAATATGGCTGCAATTCAGAGATATAATTCAGAAAAGGAAATGAGAGAAAATAGAATAGAAAAGAATAACTACGTACCCATAGACAAATGACAAATAATTGACAAACATTTTGTCACATGGATGGAAATCGACAAGGTAATCTGGTTACGTGTGAGATCAGAGATCAACAAGTACAGATCACCACCTTAGTGACCAGTTGGTTCTTTAGAAAACAGCAATGCCGTTCATTGGACACTGGTGTGTCATAAGTACAGGGTCTGTGATTTTTTTCTGAGAAAGCCTAAAGTTTGTGTCTTTCCCAGTGAACATCAATAAGAAATAAAGATTTGTAGGAGCAACAATTGCAAAATAATTTATTATACCAAAACAAACTGCCAAGTCCTGTACTTGCTGACCTTGTGTCAAATTTAAATGTACACCGAGCCAACTTACCAAGTCATTTTTTAGATTTGTTCTTTACTTGCTCGCAGACTGTTTAATACATTCTCGCGCACATCAAACAGTAAATAAGTGAAAGAAAGATGCAGCTGTAATTACTTCTCAGTGCCTCCTCGGTCTTAATTGAGCTGTGATATAACTGTGATACTGATGAGGCTATTAACTTACACTGTAATTAATACAGTCAATATATTTTCCAGTCTTATTGACAAAACTGCTCATGCATACACAAAGCCCTTTTTCACTAAGGTGAAATCTATACTTTACAGCACATTTCCTATCACACACGCTGCTGTCTATAGCACAGCTGTGTGTTTAATCTTAATTTTAATAATATAATTGTTTAACTGACTTCATTGAATATGCTGCTGCGGTAGACATGATTGATTAGTCAGATATCCTCACATATCTTCTCCATACCACTCCTTTTATGTAAACAAAGCACCTTCATGTTGTTGCTTAGCCTGATTTAGTGAACCCAGGTAACAGAAAGATATCCTGGACATGCTTGAACTTGCTTTTCTACAGGCTCCAGGAAATCAGAGACCTGGAATATTAAGATTTATTTGGTAATTCAATTCTACACACAACTAAATACTGGCACAAAATGATACTAGCTGGTAGGTGTAATTAAAAAAGTCATTTCAATGCTTGCCAAAGAAAGTCACAACAGAAGGCAGCGATGAAGTAAACAGAATAAAACCAAACAAAGTATAACAGAAAGTCCCCACAAGTGGCACGATTCTTACAAAACAGAGAAAGAGAGAGAAAGCAAAGACAATATGTAAGAGGCAGCCAGGAAAGATGCAGGACAGCAATCAGATAACTTGACAAACAGACAGGGACTGAGAGCACACAGCCTAAATGCACGACATGGAGAGAAGGGTAATCAGACAACTCAGTCAGGCACTATAATGGGTCAAAATGAAACAGAAGTGCTATAGACTTAATTTCTGTGGATAAGTCTTTGTTTAAATCTTTGATCCAGGATGATTACTCTGGA